ATAATAGGCAAGGTTGTTTGATAAAGGGTTATCATGTCAGTTTGTGTTGGTCCACTAATGTAACCTGCTAAATTCTAAATCAAATTATTTTACAATAAAAAATAATCTTAATTTGATTTTTGTAAATAAAGTACACTACTTACATAAAAGTACATGGTTAAATAAAGCAAGATAGTTAACACGTATTTATATCTTGTTGATATTTGGGGTGAAAATTTGGTTCCATCCATTTCACAAATATTATCCTGATAATTTAATTGTTATATGTTTTATATTATGTAATTTTGACAATTTGTTTTATTCTAGTCGTACTAATTAATAAAATAAAGTTTATTAAATAAGTCCATAATTATTTAATATATTAAATAACAATTTCAGCAATGATACATGAACATTTTATATAATGTCATGTTATTGCAAATTGAGTAAACATGAAATAATTTTTGTATACATGTACTGTATAGAAATATATTACAATGAATTATCTAGCAGAAAATATATTTAATAAAATAATAATTTTTAGTTTTTAAAACAATTTATATTTTAATATAATATATTAATTCAAATAAATATTATTGGTTTAACAAATAAAAATAATTATGTTTATTAAACACCGGTACTCTGTTTAATCCAATCACGAAAAACAGATACTCGTGCGTATACACCTGGGTAATCAGGCAGTNTTAGTTTTTAAAACAATTTATATTTTAATATAATATATTAATTCAAATAAATATTATTGGTTTAACAAATAAAAATAATTATGTTTATTAAACACCGGTACTCTGTTTAATCCAATCACGAAAAACAGATACTCGTGCGTATACACCTGGGTAATCAGGCAGTGCACACTGTTTACCCCACGATACTATGCCCACCAATTCACCATTATACTTAACTGGACCACCAGAATCATTCTAAATAATTTAAAATTGATATTATTAAAATGACGTATCACCTTATTACATCATAGATTTATTAATTGTAATTTATTTTAGGGGACATCCACTACGTACGTACCTGACACGCATCTTTACCCCCTTCGGGTACACCTGCGCAGAACATAGAGTTGGTTACCGGGGCAACGTGGTTGTTTCTCTCTGCGCAGTAACCCCTATCAACAACAGGTAGATCTACCGTCTGTAAGGTTGCCGGTGATGACCCTCCACCATTCACCAGATACCCCCATCCGGTTACTGTTACGATAGTGCCCGGTGTCAATTCCGAATCCTTTGTGGGCAGTTTAATGATATCCGAGTCGGGAGTGCCTATATCAAATTCGTCATTAATTTTAAGCAAGGCTATATCGTTGTTGATTATGGTAGGCTTGTCATAGTCGGGATGCATAATCATCTCGGATATGGTGTAGTCCTTCCCTCCCTGCTCGTGCAATAGTGTACCGCACCGTAATGTACGGGCTGATGGAGCTACACTGTAAAAATTTAAACATCTAAATAAATATATTATTTAAAATTACAAATAAATCATAATTTCTATTTCATATTATCAATACAGATAATTTATCTGAGATAAATAAATATTAGGAGTTATATAATAAATAGCACATTAAAAGTAATACATGGAAGGCCTACTATTATATAATAATTTACATACCCTTCCACACAATGAGCGGCAGTTATGGCCCATTTGGCGCTTATGATTATGGTGTAGTCCTTCCCTCCCTGCTCGTGCAATAGTGTACCGCACCGTAATGTACGGGCTGATGGAGCTACACTGTAAAA